TAATCATGTTCTGTTCCTGACCTTAATCAGATAACAGATGGCCATGAAATGTGCTGATTTTAATAATCCTTGTGTTGCTGATGCCAACAGTTGTGTCTAGAAGAACACGTCATTGTTCCTTCATTTCAGAACTGAAGCAAACCAGTCCTTTAGCTTATCCCCTCCTTCCAGTTGGGTGGCAGCGAATGCCTTATTGTTGCATATTGATGCGCAACAGAGGGTGACAAACTGAAACTATCGACATATTAAAGTTAAGGGAAAAGATCATAGCAAATCTGAATGACATAATTTCCGTCCAATCTCAAAACTATCTTGTCACTTCCCAGTGAACAGTTAAAATCATTTATATACTAATTCCATAATGACGTGTACTTTAGTCCAGCTTTAAGCCTAAACTTTTGACACAGTTGATTAGTTTCAGCTTTTGCACCTTTCTTCTCTGGGTTTTAATGGTGCTAGCTACTTCAGATAAATCTCTGGAAGTTTGCAGTGTCGGGTAGTATTCAATTCTCTTACCAAATGAGTTCTTCAAGCCTTTGAATCGGTTTTATTTATCTATATAAAAAATCTTAAATAACCCCATTTTAGTGCTAGAAACTGTAAAGATGCTAAAACTGGTCAGATTTGCAGCTTCCCAGTGGTCTTTTAGCTAAAACCTAACTTGGGACCTCTTGATTTAACTTATTTTGATGTCAGACACATTTAATCTACATGTCAAGCACAAGATGGGAGTTTCCTTGAAATACTAGCATACAATTCTTGATATCCATTCCTGCTCAGACTGTCAGCAAGTGAACAGATAATTGTGATGCTATCTGACATTTAAGGGTGGAGTTTACTGATGCAGAAGTTGGTCTAAATGAACAGGCGGTAAGTGATGCTGTAATACTCCAGAGTGAGCTCACTTAGAGAAGGTAAAGGGGCTCTGTTTGTCACTTTTAAACTGGTTGTTTAATGTTGGTCTCAGACAATTAATGCCATGATATTTTCCTCAGAGAAAAGAGACGAAAGCCAAAGGGGAGCAAAATGCCAAATCGGTGAGTACAGAAATGGTTTCCAGTAGAGCTGTCTGTACACTGTCTCGAAACTTGAATCTGTTTGCCCTCTATCCTCTAATGATTTCTGACAGGCAGTTCACATGGACATGCCTGTGGAGATTTTCAACTCCCCGTCTGCCTTTCCCAAAGATCCCATTCTGAGGAAGCAGCACCTTGAGGACCTCATGACAAAGATCCACGGCTCGTTCAGTTTCATGCAGGTGGACTTTGGCTGTCTCTAAGCCCATGTACTTTAATTGCTATCCTAAACGAGGTGATGCTGTGGTTTGTCAGGCTGTCATTAACCAGAGAGAATCTTAGTTTAGTGAAATTGTACTTAGTCTTTAACCATTTAACTACTCAATTGCTCTGTTAACTACGTGGGCAGTGGCATGGTGAATAAGTTTGGTGTAGCAGTCTGTAATCGGTTGAGCAAGTCCAACGTTGTGAACATGGAGGTTGTTACAGGTAGCCTGTTCCTCCCATTGCTAAAAGTCATAGATTTATCCTGGAAAGCTGGTAATGTACAACTTTTCTCCTTCTGACAGTGACACTGGTGATTGGTTTGAGTGTTTAGTCTGCTTTGTCAGTCACGACTATTGAAGAGTTTAAAAAGATGCCGTCCTGTTCAGGACTCTCTTCTAGATGGTGAAAACTCCCCAACTCAGGGCCACCCCAGACTGAAGAGACGGCCATCTGGATCTCCCTCTCCTCTGGGTAACTTACAACAAATCAACAAGTTTTGTAGTTTCCCACAATGATCCCAACTGAAGGTTGACTTGCTAGGTTTTTTCAGAGCTTTAAATTCTGTCACAAGGTCTTCAGCAGCTGATTTAGTTTATTTCTCATAGAAATAGAGGGGCAAACATGAGGGGGTCTTGGGTTTTTTGTTTTGTTTTGTTTTTTTTAAGTTGAAAACTAAGTTTGATGCTTAAATTCTGCAACAGTCAAGTCAAAGGTTCTGTCTGGAGTTTTGACCGCTAGTCGTGCTACCATGTAATGTTTCAAGCTATTCATCTCACCAAGATTGCTGGCTTTGCAAACATTGCAGGTTTAAAGATTTTCTAAATTCAGCTTTTAGTAAAGGTGTTTAGGTGTCTCAGCTATTCAGGACTGACTTCTGCTGCGGACAGCTCAAAACATGAGACTGTGCAGATTATCTCCGTAACAAGTCTACTGACTGCAGGTCATTTTGTGCTCCATATGCACGTCACAGTGACTTTACTTTACTCAATCTTAGGCCTTTTCTTGTCATGAAGTTGCACAGTTCTTTTAATACTAACGTGACACCAAATGTACCTCCAATGGTGCTCATTGGTAAAGTCATGGCATCAAACTCAATTTTATGTTAGATTTAAAAAAAAAAAAAAAAAAAAGTTCTGGTTGGCCCAGAGAGAGCAAAGTCAGGTGAAAACTTATTTTGAGTGAAACTAAGGTCTCAGATTTGTCTGGTTGTCAGGCCAACATACCACAATAACTGGACCTAGACTAGCCTGCAGGTGAGTCAGCTTCTGAGGACTTAGCAGAGTGGTTTAAGACACCAGGTGATTTTTTTTTTAATTTTTTGACCAATAACAGAGGCTTCAACTTGTGCTAAATTCATTCTGCAGCTAAGCTAATGGTGGACCAATAAAACCTCCACACAGCACTGGGTACAGACATACTTAAGCAGTAAACTCATGTGGAAATTGAACATTTGTGTGTTTGCATTTTGTGTCTTATTGAAAACTATTTTGGAGGGTAATTACTGAACATTTTTGTGTTTTTTCTTCTAACCAGCTCGGGCTGGTTTGAGAAGCCCTGCTGATGTCCTGCCCAAACCAATGCATGTGAGCGGACACTTTTTTTTTTTGTTCTTTTCCTGAAGAAGTCAGGTGTGAGGTAAGATGAAAATCATTTGGGCTTCATCTTTATTTCCCTCATTCAGTCCACCCCACTGCCTGCCAGGCTTATGGAGTGCAAAGCCAGTCTAAACAATGGGGATCAGTGCCTGGAGACCTTCGACCAGGAGCCTTCTGCAAAGGACCTACCTCATGTAAGACACAGTAACTGGCTGAACAAATACAACAGTGTTATGCCCCACATTTGTAGGTGGCTGGTAAAGTGGTTGTGTTTCTGCAGGAGCCACTGCACCTGGCTGAAAGAAAGGCGTTTTCCTCACCGCCACTGTACCGCAGGGAGTCGAGCATCTCTGTCAGTCTGGAGGAGAAGAGCAGTCCTCGGGTACGTGGGCGTCCGTAACCATGTCAACTGATGAAGTAAATGAGTGACTATGAAGGTTTGCCAGGATGGTTTTTTTTTGTGTTTCCTTTAACCTTCCACAGACGCCAGTAAGTGATTCAGGGAAGCAGTCCCCCTCTAATGGGTTGGCGTCCTGCTCCTCTACCCCACCTCAGGGACGGAGTTTCACTACACCTCCAACCAGGCGAAGTCTCACCTCCACACAGTTTCAGAACATCCCGTCAGTAAGTTTTACCAAACCAAGCTTTTCATTAGTCTACGTCTGAGGTTCACCCTCCACATATTAGTTCTACCTGTCTTGGAATGATTCAGACCTGATATACAACAGTCTCAGTTTTGGCCACATTAGGAGTAAACCTAATTATACAAAATGGTAGGGGCAGTAGACTAATAGTGGTAGGCCGGTACTGCTTGGAAATGAAGAAATCTACATTTTTCTGATTGATAAGGAACAGCATGTTAGTACCAGGTAGATGGAGGGTCGTCTGGTGTAGCGTGCTGGTCTTACATTTGGTTGGGTTGTGAGTGATTGAAATATTTATTTCAAATATGTAAAGACAAGTACCAAGTAAACAAAGAATTAATATTTCATATCTATAAATATACACTTACTGTACATATTTGAAAAGGAGTGAGAAGTGTATAAAAACTGATTTAATCCCACCCCTTTTCCATAAATTATTGACTGATCATTTCCAGTTTCCTAAATATGATATACAATTTCTGTTTATACTTATGATACAATATGATGCTACCAATTTATATATCTATATAAATATACACATACACACATGTACATACACATGCACTCATACTAAGGAAAACCGAATGAGAATAATTCATAGTTACCAATAAGTAAAAAGATAAACATTAACTCCTGTAAACATGTGGCGTAGGTCAAGCCCCCTCTTCATCCTCGTATCGTGTAAAGATCATGTTTTTATACTTTATATACTGTTCCAAACATACAGCTGGTGTATGTTTGGAACAGTTTGAATGTGGAGTTAAAGCAACGTCCACAGTCTTCCTCCACATACTGAGACACAGAAACCTTTTCTAATGGTACGGGCACTGCAAGTTTTAAAGTTGTGTTTTCTTAAGTTCTAGCTGCCTTCTCGACTACTGAACAGCTTTAGATTAGAAGGTTTGCTTTTCAGTGGCATTTGTGAGACCGCAGCCTTGGTTCCAGGTATGAATTAATTTGCATCAGCCTCATATTTGCTTCTGACTTCATGTGAAATGGGGTTAATTCAGTCCAGAGGATGGTGGTGAGACATCAGAAAGTGTTTGGTAATAGCTGAAACTTCACCAAAGAACATTAGAAGGGAAATCTTTGTTTGTTTACACACTTGTCCCTTTTGACGGCGTGCCATCTAATGTAACTCATACATAGGAAGTGTCAGTGGGTTCTGAATGCTTGCAGTCATAGCAGGATCAGTATCAAATGTGAGCGCAGAAGAATAATTAAATAACACATGAACACATTGTATTTCCAAATGTGAACTGAAATCTGATTTGACTAGATCCAGAGAGTCTAAACCATCTGGATCTGAATGGGGTTCTGCACGTTGCTTCAACTTACTCTGGTGTCTATGTTCTGCTTTTTGTAGGTCTTCAAGGTGAACGCCTCCTTACCCCAGAATGGGGAACCAAACTACAAACCAGACCCTGCAGCTTTCTCCAAGCCCATGTACAGCACTGCCAGCACCCAAACACCACCTGAGTTTGCTCCCTCAGAAGATGAGCTGCAGCCCGGTAAGTTGATTCAACTCTTTGTTTCCCTGAATGCTCAACCCTCATGGGCTGGATGGTCAACAGTCAACACACTCTCGCTGTATGCCCTGTCTAGTGTATCAGACAGATTACACATTGGGTAATGGAGGACAGCTCTTCCTGTCCCCTGGCCAGTCGGGTGGAAGTGTGAGCCGACCCAGCCGGTCATACAGCACCAGAGGATCTGTGAGAGGTATGGCACGTGGTGGCAGGGGACCGGCACAAACCTTTCGCTCCTCTGGTTGGCACCGAGGTACCTATCCTCAGGTTTCCTTCTTCTCTGAAACTGAGTTTTCAGCACTTCTTTAATTTCTCACCTACTTTTTGCTCGACATCTGTTCTGGTCTTGGTTAAACCTAATCTGAAACTGATCGTGTTGAGGTTTTTCTAAAATGGATTTCTGCTCCCCAGGAGGATCTTATAACCCCCAGGCTAATCTCAGGGATTCTGGCCCTATAGCCTATACTACTAGAGTAAGTTAATCCTTCATATCAAATAAATGAATGTTTTAATCCAAGCCCATGTTGTATATCAAAAGCTTCATGTATTGCAGATTGTGACACTGGGCAGCATAGGATAAAGACTGCTATGAATGAGTCTGATGTTAGCATTGGTTTTCAAGTATTTTGATGTCTTGAGAGAAGTGAATGCTGCTTTGAGTTGGCAGCCCAGCTATTTGGAGCAGATTCTAGATGTCTGCAGGAAGGTCGGGTCTGGTCATGACTTCTAATTTATTGGTTAATTCTTAATATTTTAAAACCTTTTTGCAACTCAGTCCACAAATCTTTGACTTCATCGCAGCATTGTTCTCTACGGCCACAGCTATCAGAACCTTGAGTACACGCACGATCACCAATTAAAAGGAGTGTCTGCAAGAGTGTACAAAAACTATAACTCTGTCCCCTGACTTCATTGTAGTGATTCTGCTGAGTACAGAGTGGACGTATTGGTTAAAAATGACACCCAAAGAACTGTATTTCTTAAAGTCATGTTTTTTGGGGGTTTTTTTGGACCATCGTTGTGTGTTTGACCCCAGCAAGACAAATCATGCTAGTAGAAAAAATATCTGCATGTTATGTAGCCCGACAAGCAACACATGCTCCAAGGAAATGTTTTCATGCAGCCCTGTTGTGTGTCTGCATATGTTTTTATAGTGTCTCTGGTTTTTTTTTTTTTCCTCAGGATGCAGGACACCATCACAGCAGCAGATGTGGAGATGGGAGACATAACTCCAGTGGTAAGCTCCAGCTCCAGGTTTTTGTTGTTTTTTTACAGCAAAAATCTGCTTTTTGTTAACTTATTTGCAGTCGAGCAGTGTTGAAGTGAAATGTTTCCTGTCAGCAATTCTCGTAGATTAATCGTAGCAACTGGACCTGCTTGAGTTCCTTGAAGATGTTCTACCCCTCATCCAAGAGGCTTCATCAGGTCTGAATGACTAGCTGGGAGTTCCAGATACTTATCAAATCAAGTTTGTCATGTTGCTGTACATACACAGTCGTACAGGCAGGATGAGAGAGCGTTTCTTCAGGATTATTCAACCAGCAAGTTTGCTGAATGCACATCTGCGATAAGACCCTTAAACGTTCACTCTCGCTGTCTCCTGAAGGGGGCGCTGCGTCCATGCGCGTCACCATTCGTTGAACATGGTGAACCTCTTCAGGTCCTGGTAGGTCTTCAGGGACACAAAGACACAAATGATGGTGTGACGATGGTGAAGCTGCCGATGCTGCCCAGAGCGTCTGTCTGTCTGTCTGTTTGCATCCCCTCCAGCTGTCTGTCTGTCTGTCTGTCTGCATCCCCTCCAGCTGTCTGTCCGTCCGTCCGTCTGTCTGTCTGTCTGTCTGTCTGCATCCCCTCCAGCTGTCTGTCCGTCTGGGATGCTGTCATGGAGCCATGTTTCTGTTAAAGCAAATGCAGTAGTCTTTCCACTCTCTAAACGCTCTTAAAACGCTCTGTAAGGATATCAGTATCTAGAACCCCCAACTAGTCAGTCAGAACTAATGAAGCCTCTTGGATGAGAGGTGGAACGTCTTCAAGGAACTCAAGCAAGTCCAGTTGTTAGGATTAGTCGACCAGAACAACCATGACCTGGATGACTGAAAATCTTCAGACTTCCTGTCAACAATATTCAAGCATTTGTAAAAATTGGATAAGAATAAAATTCACTAGTTTCAATTGGTTGCTACTCCTGAATAGCAGAATGTAGACATTGTACAAAATTCAAGTGTTACAACTTGATTAAAATCATGTGACGCCATGAGCCTCACTGATGCTGTCATACTGGGTTACTTTTGCAATTTAGTTGGAAGTAATGAAGTATTGGTAAGGTTTGCTCGTTTAGTGAGGATGGTTCAACTGTATCTAAATTAAAATGATTAAGGTTGATTTTGTTCGAGGGATGAATAGGCTCAGGTTCCACTTAAAACGTCTTCATGTGCTGACTCCAAACTTATGTATCTGTCAGAACCAGAGTACAAGTCACTGGTACATCTATGCAAAATGATGTGGTAAATGTACTCATAAGTCAAACCAGAAATGTACTGACCTTCTTTCAAAATGGAAGAGTTTGAGACTTGTTTCGTTTCTGGACGTATTGGAAATTGTTTGAAATTGGCACCACTTGTACTTGATTTCTCTCACAGTGGAATGATTTAGTTTTAAGATATTTGGAGATCTTGGTAAAGTCCTTTGCCAGCCAAAAGATTGACGGTTTTTCTAAAGGTTTCTCGATCTTTGCATGATGACGGCACACACTTCAGTAGCAAAGAGCAGCAGATCTATGACGTCAGAGGTTTAAATAAGACTGGGTCCACCTGTCACCCTTTAGGGAGGTTCTAATCATTAGCATCAAATATGGAACCAACCCCTGATTGTAATGAGATGGATCTGAAGGTGTGATAAATGTACAAAAATGGTACTTGTTTTTCCAGCTGACTGATCTATTTGTTCATTTTAATTCCGAAAATTATTACCAAATGTCAATTTTATGTTTTTTGAGTAGATAACCTTTGTCTGTCGGCATTGTTTGAAAAAGAGCAAAGCTGAAATATTTTCAGTCCTACTAAGGCCTTGTCCGCATGTAGCAGGGTTTTTGTAAAACTCAATATCCTCCCCCTCTGTCTAGGAAAAAAAACTAACATACACACCACCTCGTTTCTAGAAAAAGCATTCCTCCACCCCTAACCGAATTAGTGCGTTGTTCAGCACATTCATGTTCTACGTGAGGATGTAAGAACTCAAACAACAGGAGCGACGACCGGGACACACAGAAGTTGTCACGCTGTTCCTCCGTCTCAAAGTTCTCCCACCAGCTGGCAGTGCGTCCAGGTCTGACCCAAAACCGGCGTCGGTGTCTCTGACGGAGAACATGCCTCAGACGTGGAATGGCAAAATAACCGTCCTGAACGGCGTCCTTCGCCTGTGTTCCTGTACGTGGAGCGGTATCTGGACCTGGACCAGAGACACCAACACAGTTCTGAGGGCGTCCACGCTGTTTCCAAATGTAAACACAGGTCACAGATGTGGTGTAAAGAACATATTCTGTCACAGGCAGTGACGTTCTAAACCTAAAACCGGATATTGACGTCCACATGCAGATGTGTAAACGGAGGATTCACAAATCTACACTTTGGTCGGAGGTTTTTGAAAGAATCGTTTTTAATGCCATAAATCTGCGTTTCCTTGTGGATGACAGGACACATCGTAGAAACAGATCTTGGTTTTGTGAGATACCCTGATACGTGTGGACGAGGCCTAAGACTATTTGCTTCCGGTAAGACATGCTGTATACTGACTACTTGATCAGTCAAGCCTGTACAGATGAGAAGTGCAATAAGTAGTTGTCAACTAGTCAGAGGAAATGCATCACAATGAGAAATGTGTGTGGGTGTCGAGGGAAGGGCTTTCAAATGTTTTGACATACAATTTAGTCAAGCAATAAATCAATCTTAAAGGCTCCTTGTATTGACGTAAAATTAGAGTTTAGATTTCCCAGAAGGATTGTACCAACGGGGAAAACAAACAAGAGTTTAATTCTTCTAGACTAAACGATGCAGCACATCTTTTGCACCACAGTCCTGATGTTGTATGCGTTACTCCTCACACTGTTGCGCCCTGTTAACTTTTCCATCTTGGCTCTGCAGCAGTCTGGAACGACTCTTCCCAGGTGAGCAGTCCAGACCTGCAGGGAACCTTCACGGTTGTGGACTCAGGCCATGAAGATTCCCTGTCAGTCTCCACCTTGGAGGTTCCACTCACCCCCCACAGCCACCACCACCTGCTGCCAATGCAACTCTATCCGCTCTCCCAGCCGCTGCGAGTGGCCTTCACCGCCTCACGCACTGCCAACTTCGCTCCGGGCAACCTCGACCAGCCAATCGTGTTTGACCAGCTGCATAGCAACCTAGGGGAGATGTATGACACCCACATCGGCCGCTTCACCTGCCCTGTAAATGGAACCTACGTCTTCATCTTCCACATTCTGAAGCTTGCAATCAACGTGCCACTCTACATTAACCTCATGCGCAATGAGGAGGTGATGGTGTCAGCGTATGCCAACGATGGAGCCCCAGATCATGAGACAGCCAGCAACCTTGCAATCCTGCCTCTCTTCCAGGGCGACCAGGTATGGCTCAGGCTGCACCGTGGGGCCATCTACGGCAGCACTTGGAAGTACAGCACCTTCTCTGGCTTCCTGCTGTACCAGGACTGAACTGCTGCTGGCCCATCAGCCCTCTGCTCACAGCGTGTGGACTGTTCAATTTGCACTAAATGGTGATGAATCTGACATTTCAAAATTGTGGTCTGGCTTTATTCACCATATCGCCCATTCATAATGAGGTCTGTCGTTGGCCAAGAGGTAGGATCCATACTCGCAGCCATTATCTACATTTAAAATGGGTGTCATGACTACATGAGGGAAAAACACAAATGCTTGGTTCCCCTTCCATGTGTAGTTCACAGTGGTGGTCTTTCCTGTGACTATGATACTCGTACAAGTGGGCCTTAAAGTCATGTCATCTTGCTGTAAATCACCTTGTCGCACTTCAGCCCACGGGTCTGAGTTCAGCGAGAACTCTGATGCAATGCTATGAACATGTGCCTTTTGTTTTCTGAATGGCTTTTGGATGACTGAGTGAATGGCTGACCTATCCGGTGATTTATAACTGACTCTACTCGCAGCACTTTGCTTGATGTTGGGCTCCAATGTATTTAGCTGAGATGGAAAGATTGTGTTCTTGGTGGTGGGTACGGTGTCGAACACTTTATGCCGAACTGTTGCGCTAACAGACTACTGTGGAGTGACGGAAGTGGTCTCTTGATGCGGCTAAATAAAAGATGAGCAGTGAAGGTTGGGTTTCTTCTCTTGAATTCTCTTTGTTTTGCATTTACAGAAACTAAGTATGCACATCAGTGTTAACCACTTATTCAGTAGAGAATTGTACATTGTTGACTCTGCAGCTTGTCTAGCCAGCGCCACTGCTGGACACTTTTCTGAAGCGATGCTAATTTTAAATATTGTGAGCAGCACAAACAAAGTTAATTTATCTACAAGCCTTGAAAACGAATCGTTCAACTGAGGTGGTTTACTCCTGTCCAGTGTCAATTATAAACTGTATCAGAAGTTGAACAGAACTTACTTATGTAAAATTAATAACTGACAGTTTAGATTTTACTATATTAAAAATACAGGCCTTACAGTAGGAACTCACTGGAACTCAAATTTCATTACCGAGATTAAATTTTTAAAAATACTTGGTCTACCTTTTATTTTTGGCAATAGACCAAGTCCCTCTCACCATGAAGGATACCAGAGTTGCACACATTTCTGGAGAGATGGTCTGCCATTGTTGAGACTTTACTATTTTTTTTTTTCCTTTTTCTTTTTCCAGGTGTTCAGAGGTTGTGTTCCTCTATCTTTGTTTAAAATGCCCCAAAGCTGTTTGATTGGATTCAAGTCAGCTGACACACTTGGCCACATCATAGTTTTAACATTTTCTTCTTTGAAAACTCCCGTTGATTGTGGCAGTGTGCTTTGGATCACTTTTATGCTGGATTATTTCTCTTTTGTTAAGCTTCTACAAACTGGGAGTGAAGCCAGTATTTTGGTATATCCACACACATTCATGGTGCCATCTATACTTTTTGAATCACGCCCCATATCATCACTCTACCACCTCTGCTTTACTTTTGGGATGATGCATTCACTGTGGTGGTCCTAATGAGCTCCATACTGAACTCCATCTCAGTCAAACCGTTTAATCTTGGTCTCATATGACCTAAGAATGTGTTCCCAGGATTCACCAGGTTTATTTTCATGTTCCTAACGTTCAAAGTTTAATTGCAGTTTTGTACCAAACAGCAAGCAATAACTTCTTTCGTGCACACCATCCATACAGAGTAATGCACTGTCCTTTACACTGTCTGAACTGTCACAGAAACAGATTTCCACCTATAACTCCTGTGTCTTCTGTTTTTCACAGATGGATTTTACAGGTAGCGCACTGTCCATAGCATTATTTTAGGAGGATGACTGCTGGAGCTCTGATCAGTGGTACTACAGCTCATTCTATACCTCCTGATACAGCTGTTTCATCTGGCTTTTAGTTGGTCACTGACTTTCTTGTATCCTCCATCTTTGAAATCACACAAGCAGATTCTAAAGTTTCTCTGGTAATTCTTCATGTGGAGCCAAAATACAGACATGCATATAGACACAGCTCAGACAACCTAAACTGAACTGTGTTCACGTTGTTCGGCCAATGGAAGTCACAGTTGTACTCACTGTTATTGCAGTGATCACAGGTTTTCTAACTTGTCAGTGATCACAGATGTAGGTGTATGAACATGATCGACTGCGGTATTAATATGAATATATTCATGCGCTCTGCTCATAGAAAACTACGATGTCATATTAGACAACCTCAAGGAAAGGACTGGTGACAAAATTAATATATTTTCTGATTAAAATATTTTGTATATATTGAGTCACTGTCAGTCTTTACACCAATGCAAATTAAGACTACTATAAGCATGCATGTTAATCAGTTCCATCCTGTGCTTAAAAAGAATGGGGGTGCTATGAAGACCCCCGTACAAGGAGTGGAGGACAACTGAGCACCAGTGATCTAGATGTGGCTACTCTGCTATTTACAGGATAAAAAAGAAGCCAGCTTGAGAGAAGTCTGTGGTTGATATGTTGCAGTAAAAACAACAGAAATCCACTTGATTTTCACACACTGGAGCAGCCGACGGCAGAACTTTGGTCGGCTTTGCTCGAGGCTAAGATATTTGAGAGTTTAGCAGAAACAACCCTAGATGGGTGTCTTGGTGGACTGAGAGGCAGCTGCTCATTGTGACTGGATCAGCTGGAGGCACTGGGCAGGACGGGTTAGACCAAGTCTGACCGGATCCCTACTGGTTTGTAGCACTGAGGTCAAATTTTCACTGGTTTGTAAAGCTGATAGCTAGTTGTGAAGGGGCTGAAGGAATAGCAGACGGAAACATCTTAACAGCCTTTATTTTACTCCTCCAACTCTGTGGCAGCCACAAAACCCAGTAAAATGAAGTTTCATCATATGGGACCTTTAGGCCTAGTTCAGACCTGCAGGTTCAGCACTTGGGGGCGGCAGCACATTTCTTCGTGTCACACCGCGGAGACGACGAAGAAGAAGAGAACCGTAAAGTGTGTGTTTACTTTGCTTTACGCCCACCGACGGCTGGTTGCCGGTAAAACGGGGCAGGGCCCCTGTTCTCCGTCAAGCTGCTGGAGTTTGACGGAAACAACAGCGGCTGCCCTTTCAAATTAATCCTCCAGCCGCTGCTCACAGCACAGTTCTGAGCAGCTTTCAGCTGACGCGTCTCTTATTTTGAAAAGGCTGACCGGTAGCAGTCTCTGTAACTTTCGTAAGTTTTTTTTCGTGCTCGGGCCACAGTGAAAGCAGAACCAGAACGTAGGGCCGAATTTGGGCCAGAAACGTTAGCTAACGCAGCGTGTATGCGAGAAGAAAACACTGAAGGAACCGTGGAACTAAACACACATGGATCCCAACCGGATAATCCAGGCTCTGAAGGGGACCATCGACCCGAACCTGAGGATAGCAGCGGAGAATGAACTCAATCAGGTGGGCTAGCTAAAGTTGCTTTTTGTTTGTTTGTTTTTGTCGGTGAGGGCCATCGTGGACCCTGCTGGCCCGGGAAGGATGCCGGTGTTTGTGGAGGAGGGCAGGCCGTGTTTGTGGGGATATGGCGGCCTGCTGAGTGCTTCTCCTGGTTCGGGGAGCTTGTGTGAGGCCTGAGAGCAGCAGTGTGGTGCCCCAGTCCGACTGCAGCTCGGGAACAATAGGAGGCTGATCCGATAGCCGTGTGCACCGGGGACCCAAACTTTGTCCTGTCAACACCAGAACACAGCACAAAGCTGAGCTGCTGCTGCACACTGCTGGGCTGCAGAGGAGTTATGTAACCAAACAAGCAGTGTAGGCTAAACACAGAACCACCACAGCCCGTACAGTGAGCGAGGAACACAGCTGGAGCCCTGATGTCCTCTGAGGCCTCCACTGACCTGCCTGTGACTGATAGTGATTCAGAAATGCACGGATTTCTGTGGTGCCTCTGTCCTTGTGAATGTCATTCAAATGCTCTGTTATGATTGATTGTATTTTTATTAATGCATGCAGACCAGTGGTGGAACCAGACAGGGTTTATAGGGTTCACCAGGCTGAGAGAGTTCCTCACATTGGAGTGGCACAATATCAACAAATCACCGCCAAAAAGTGTCAGATAGGTTAGTTATTTTGGTCATCTACTTTGTTTGTGTATTCAAGCGAGACTGCCAAGTAGAAGTACATATACCTGTGTACTCATATGATTAAAGCTCACCTTTTTAGTTGTTGATAAGGTAAAAACATGTTAAATGCTTATGGCAAACTTGTCCTCAGTCTGGTCAGGACACCTACCTGCGTCCCACGATGTCCGTCCAACCGTTGGTTTCTTTCTTGTGGGTGACCCTAATCATACGCACTTTAGCTAATAAAAACATGTACAACCAGATTTATTAGTTGCACATAAAAACACATGCATTTTTATTGTCTCTACGCTTTTCAGTGACAATAATACAAAGTCTTTGAATTGCTACAGAACCAGTGTGATCATTCTCTGGTTTTGC